ACAATAGCACTTAATCTAACTCTTAAAGAGATAATGCATAATTCCTCTTCAGTTAATTACATTATTTAACTATTAATTGTTTTCTTGAAGGATATCAGTTCTATTTAACGGATGCTCTCATGTATTTCGATTAATTATATTTTTCTAGCATTTCCAATTTTACTTACATTTTAGGCACATTACGCTGTATATATTTGTGTATATTTAGGTTAGCTAGTTACCACTTTATAGATTTGCATGTTTTTCCTCACTTCAACCTTTTGAGACCAAAACTTATTTACAAGTTTTGTGGCATGAATCTCCATTTCGAAAGGAAAGTTGGTTGGAAGGAATTCGTGATGCGGTCTCACCGTAAACCAAGGGAGGATTGTCGCGTAAGGAAGACTGTTTAATTGTGCGAAGAAGTCATCGGTTCACCGTCCTGCGACTCCGATGAAATTGTGCTCAGCTTTCGTCTGTACTGTGATAGACATCATCAGAACAAGATTCCATACTTTACGAAAGAGAACAAAAATATACTAAACCATGAGGAGAAAGTGTCCCCCTGCTCTGATGATGTCTGTCACAGTACAGACGAAGGCTTAGTACAGTTTCATCAGGGTTGCAGGACGATGAACTGAGGACTTATTCGCATAATTCAACAGACTTCCTTACGCGACAGTCTTCCCTCGGTTTCTGGTGAAACCACATCACGATTTCCTTACAGCGAACTATCTCCTTTGACATGAAGAGTCATGTCACAATATTACATTGAGGAATTCTTCTAAACCCTCTTTTTCTTTATTATTTAGAAATTGTTTGACCATATTTTCGTAACTTGGTCATATTGGTAGGAAAACTAAGAGAAACGCACCTAGTTCGGAGTCCATTGTATACATGATAATTTCCAGAGGCGGACCGTCGACGTGGTACATTCCCAGACGTTCCGTTGACATTGCAGTCGACATCGTCAGTGAGCATTGCCAGTCATAGCACCACATTACAACTCGTCAAAGCCGATCCTTTGATCAATTGTCTGCTAATCACCAATCCTATGTCCTCGTATCACGCCTTCACTTTCGCAATTTTTTACTTGCTTATTTAAATGTGGTATTGCGTTCCCCTTTAAGCGGCTTTAATGGGAACTCTCCACACTCCTCACTGTCTTTCACATTACCTCACCCTTATGCTGGAAATGTTGATCAGATTCTGTTTTATTGTTACGCGGTCCTCCTTCCATAGGTCTTATCAGTCTCCCTATTTCCCCGTAGGATCCGTCTTCTATCTCCTTGGTTCAAGTATTTCATTCGACTCTTGCCAACCCATCTGTGCTACTCGAGGCACTCTACCTCTGAGAGACTAACTTGAGGCTAAAGCCGCTGAGTAATTCTCATTGTAAAGCCATTGTTTCATGGACCACGTATACGGTAAAACAGATCTACTTTCAGCCATCTAGCTCTAGTCTCCACCGCGTCTATCTTGTTTCTATCCGTAATGCCAAGTCTATGACTTCCTATGCCCTAGTCTCCTGTGTGTCAACCCACAAATGTTGTCATTTTACTTGTTTTTATTAGGCTCACTGAAGACGTCTCCTCTTTGTTTCTGATTG